CTTTGTCGGTTTAATTTGCATACTCACTCCTGATTGGCTGTGGGCATCGTGGAGGGGTGGTCAATTTACATATTTGTCTATTATTATTATAGATTTCCTCTTAAATTTTAAAAAGTTTAGTCTGATGTTTAATATAGAAATTTATTAAATGGTGTGGAACCACTGATTAAATAAGATTACAAATACCTTCTTAAAACAGATTTTACTTTGTTAAATCCTACCTATGCCTTAAGAAATGAACTAATGTTCTCAAAACCCACTCATGCTCTTAAACCAAAGGCAGGCCCAAAGGACCCCATGAAGACCCTATCAATTCTCTGCTTTGATTTAAGGTCAAGAAGATAGGCTGGCAAGACAAGGCCAGCAGAACTCTTTTAATTGACCTGTCCATAATTTAAAACTCAACAATAAGCAATAATTACATATTTCTACAAATCCTACATCCACTGTGGAAGAAACTATGTCAATTTTATATTCTTATCAATCTATATTAATTGTGCAAATTAACATTTTATCAAAACATGTCTTGATGGTCAATGGTCAAATCAAGAAATTGAAAATATGAAATATTTTCTCTTCTACTTCAAGTAATATTTTATAATTATTAAATCATATAAGGACAATCATTAAATAAGAAATCCACATTTTGAAGGATGCAAACATCATGCTTTCAAATTAGATTTGTGTCACAATGAAAACTGAAAGAAATGTTATATATTGCAGTGAACACCTCCCAGCTGTGAATAGAGAAGCTCTGGAATGACTCATGACCTCCTTCTGGAATGGCAAAATGGGTCAGCGGCCCATTTACCATCATATTCTATTTCATTTTGGGAGCATCAGTACCATACCAGAATTTTTACTTTCAGCAGTAAGCCTAAGAATCTCATCAGTACCATACCAGAATTTTTACTTTCAGCAGTAAAATAAGCTTAAGGATCCGTAGTCTCAGAACTCCAGAATAAGTTCCCAACACAATCCCCTGAGGGGCTCCCGGTTTGGGGATCCTTGGACTTACTGAGCCGGAGTTGATGTACACGAACACTCTGCCTTCCTCCCTGATGCTGCTCTGCATGGGAGCTCCCACCAGCACGTCCGAGAAGCCGTCTGCGTTGAGGTCCACGGCACAGATAGAAGCTCCAAAATAAGAGCCAAGCTGCTCCAAAAACAAACCAGACCCAGTCACTGAGGAAAAAGCAGGGTTAGTCACCAAAGCCCCCACGGAGACCAAAGGTAGAGACGTATTACCTTTTTACCTTTCATTTCATGTAAGATCGTTAGTTTTCTTTCATCAATTCTGAATATGTATGCCTGCAATTGTGAAAAGAATTAGAAAAGGTTAGACTATGACATTTAAAAAATTTTTTTCATTTGATCAAAATATCATTTTTCATAACTTGTAATTGCTCAAATACAGTTTTAAAAATCCCTTTCAGAGTGATCCCAAAGGTTTAGGAAACCACGTTCAGGCTAACGTGCCTTCCTTGCAAAACTACCTTCTCGGGAGCTACCTCCTGGCCCTTGAGAGAGAGCGCAGGAAGAAAGCGTTTTTGCCTCACTTTTCAAAGTAAGGCTGAGAAAAATTTAGTAACCTTTACACAACAAGTGTAATGAAAACTAAAGCCAAAAATAACATCTTATTCTTTGTAGTCTTACCATAAAACCTGTTGCTGCCTCAATTTCCCTTTAGTTGTAAACTTGTTAACCAATAAATATATTCCTCGGGCACCTTGAGACAGTTCTCTTAAAAACAGTTTACTCATAAGAAAAAAAAAGCTTCATTTGACATATAATTTCCTTAAAGCTTTTCTGCCCAATTTTATCTAAAAGCCATACAACATTCACCAATTCCACTAAATGCAGCACATGGCTCATCATTTCTAGCTTTCATTCCTTAGCAAGTGTGCACTTCCTCCTTTAACCTCTCCTCTCATGCAATCTATTTGAACCCTTTTAAAGAAATAAATATAAAAATGTAGTTCTTACTTTACCAATCTGTTCATGCTGAGGAGCTCCTCCGATGACTTCGGTGGTATCCCTACTCCAAAAATGACCAGCTCCAACTGAGTATCCTTCAAGAAAACGGACACAATTGTGAGACTTGTCATCTGCCGTGGGTGAAATATATTATCACATATCCACTCAGAATACAAAGTGACGACACGGAACAGAATTTTAATAACATTTAGCAAAGCAATACGAGTACACACAATTGGTCATTCATTTTATGCTTTAATTATTAATATGTGTGTTATGAAACAAATTGAAGATAGCACCTTTACATTTGGTTTGTTAGTCTCTGTGTAGTACCAGGACATGCAAGCTTCCTGCATGTCCTTTTACTACAGAAATATTTTAGAGTATATAAAATATGACATTTTAAACTTTAAGTATAAATTTCCTAAGTTGCAATTTTTTTTGCCATGAAATCTTTATTATGATAAAATTTTATGATGATAGAAATGGGGAAATATTTTGGTTTTATTATGTAATAAAAAGGGTAATGCCAAGTTATATTTTATAATACCTGAAGATAATCTTCAACTATAAACAAGTAAATGTTGAATTGTAAATGAATTCCCTCTGTTTGAAAATGAATTCCTTCTGTTCAAATGGGAAAAATAATACTGCTTTTCTTATCATTATTTCTGAGTATAAACTGCTCACATTTGAAACACATATGGTATAAGCAAATCTGTACTTTCTAAGAAACTATAGGAAAAGCATTCCTTTTACTATAATGGAAATTAATGCCAGAAAAATCTTGTGTTTCTATTGAAACAAACTAAATAATCCCACCTCTGATTCATTAAATAAGAATAAAAGATAAATAAGGATAAGAAGATAAAAATAGCTAAGCTGTGAGAAATATTATAAGAACTTATGAGGCAAAGGTCAATGAGCTGTTTTTCAGACCCATATGCTTCATAATGTTACCCATTGTCTAGAATGCAGTCGAAAGCCTGACTGATTTTCAGCTGGTCCTTTAAGAAACTATACTTACTTACTCTTATATAATTAAATGAGTTAATTAATGTAGAGTGCTTACAAAAGTTCCTCAGATATGGTAAGCAATCAATACTAACTTTATAATAATAAAGATACAAGCCCTCAAGTGTTTTACTCCACAGAATAAGCACTTTGCAGTAAACCAGGAATTCCAGTCTAAGAATTATATGTCGATGACTGTAGTTACATATGTTCAATGTAAGTTAAAATTTCATAGATTGTATTCTTAAACAAACTCTCTTTTTAATAACCACTGGCCATTTTGATCTTTTTTTTTTTAATCCTCACCTAAGGTATTTTTCCACTGATTTTTAGAGAGAGTGGAAGAGAGAGGAAAAGACAGAAATACGGTATTGACATGTGAGAGAAACACATGGATTGGTTGCCTCCTGCACACGCTGGGGAGGAGCCTGCAACCAAGGTACATGCCCTTGACCAGAATCGAACCCAGGACCCTTTGGTCCACAGGCCGATGCTCTATCCACTGAGCCAAACTGGCCAGGGCCATTTTGATCTTTTGAAAATATAATTTCCCTTATTTATAATCACTAGTATCTGTAAGAAAGATTATAATTTCAGTTTGTCAATTTTTACAGTACCTAAGTAACTTCCAAATTTTACTTGATTGTCTCCGTCTGAAAAAGCCACATATTTATTTGAAGTTATATTGTAGGCAAAAATAGAGCCAGTCCAATAAAATGATCCTGGAGCTCCCATCACAATTAAATCCTGTAAGAAATAAACAATTTAGCATCATTTAAAAGTTTAATCTCACCACCCCAAACCTCTTCCAGATATACATTTTAAGTAAATAGTGACAAGAATAGATTTTTTATGATAAATTTCTAAAGCCTGAGCATTTTATGAATTTAAAAACACACCAGGAAAAAAAAAGCCAGAGAAGCTAGCTAATGGATTTTCACTAAAAGTAGAGTTTTAGAAAAGAAACTTTCACTTCACACTTATCAGTGGACTTAGAAATCAAAGGTAGAATCATTGAACACTAGAGTAAGTTTTCAGGAGAAAGGCAATGTGGTTTCTATTAAAGTCAATCATATCTGGGTAATTCATTAGTGCTCATTAGAGATAATCATGTGTTGTCAAAGAGTGAAAAAGTAGACAATTTATTTCAATTTGCAAAAAGCCATTAACTAGTTTCCTTAACAATGTTAGATTAGAAAAAATAAATCCAATAAAACAGTGGTTCTCAACCTTTAAATACAGTTCCTCATGTTGTGACCCAACCATGAAAATTTTCGTTGTGCTAATTCATAACTGTAATGTTGCTACTGTTATGAATCGTAGTGTAAATATCTGATATGCAGGATGGTCTTAGGCGACCCCTGTGAAAGGGTCGTTCGGCCACCAAAGGGGTTGCGACCCACAGGTTGAGAATCGCTGCAATAAAATCTTGGGCATGTGGTTAATGATTCTCTCTTATCATTGATGTTTCTATCTCTCTCTTCATTCCTCTCTGAAATCAATAAAAAAATATTTTTTAAAAATCTGGGGACATATTTGATGATAAATATGGATTTAGAAAAAGCAAACAGAGGGAAGGTCGAATAAGCAGATAGTTGTCTAGTAAAATATGAAAACTTTCAGCAACCAAACCTACTTAACATATTTCTAAATTTCCTAAACAATTCTGAATTTCAAAAAAGACCAATTTAAATATACATTAAAGAAATCATTGCTTTTTTTACACAGTAGGTAATATTTATGGAAATTGTAAACCTAAGGCCTTCTACATAGATTCAGAAAACATTCATGAATTCATAACTGGTTTTTAAGGGAAACTGGGAACTTTGGAGGTTGAGTACAACTGTGATCATTCACTGGGACTCACAGAATGACTAGAGTGGTAGAAAAAGAATAATCGAGTTTGAGAATATATCTAATCTAAGAGGTTATTAAGTTCTTCAATCTCCCAATTCTCATAATTTTAATTGAAAGTGTGAATTCATATGTTTACTCTCCTCAACAAGTAAAAATAACATAGGCATTTTCGATGTCTAAGTTAACAAAACAAATAACTATAGCTACTTTTAATTTCTATTAAATTCTTAATGAAAGTAATATTCTTTAGTATAGACTTTTAATTGCTCTTATGTGGCATAGCTATCTAATATTAGGTATTTTCTCACAATATACGTCAAATATTCAGTGATAAAAATTAATCTATAGTACTGTACTTTCAAATATTAATCAGATATTATACAATTTTTTACTGTAAAGCATAATATCAGTCTTCTAAGTCTTCAGAAACATTAAAATTCTATATGTAAACATTCATAGCAGCTATTTTTTGGACTATTACCTTCGTGTGAAAACTAGATATTCCAACTTGACATGATGCAAAATTCTCTCCAAAAGTTTTCACATAATCTAAAATAAAGTAGAAAGAAACAATTCAGGATTTCACATAAAGACAAAATCTGTATAATTTTATTTTATGGAGGATAGGTGACCAGGCCAGGACACAAATTAAAAAATACTTGAATGGAGGCTCCTAGCTCTACCATCAGCCAGTTTTTGACCAAAGGCAGAAAAGGGGGAGAAAAGCTTTCACAAACAATGACTATTGTCCTCATTTCATAAGCCCTCCCTCCCTCCTCCACATTCATTTGCAAATATGGATAGACATTTGGGATAAAAAATAGCATAACAATCAGAGGTGGGGGCCCCTTCTGCTACCAGAGGGCTGGTAAAATTAGATGATATCCCTTGGTCACAGTTTTCTCCTCTATAAAATGAAGGCATTTGACTCAAAAAATTGCCAGAATTTCTCCCACATCTAATATTCTAAAGTCTACTGCCTAATTTCATTTACTTTTCAGTATACGTGATTACCAACCAGAAATTACACGTATTTCATTACCAATTTTTTTTTTAGTTATAGTTCCTCCATTAAAAAAAACTAACAGGGAAAAAAAAACAAAACCCACATACAGGCTTCCTAGATTTTGCCCAGTAGAGAGTCTCTTATTATGAAGCCGCCATGAATGGATGTTTTTGAAACTTACTATGAACACAAAGCTTTGCTTCTGAAACACTTACATCAGTAAACGTCTATGAAAATAAGAATCAGGACCACATCTTTGCTTTGGTTTTACTAACTAGAAAATTTAAAAGAATTGCTGTCATTTATAATTACTATACTCTGTCATGATTTTCCCTTTTTTTAATATCTTCCCTGAGTCTATTTTTTCTATTTTTATAAATTTCCCATAATTTTAGTTATCTTATATTTATGTCATCTTGAATTTTTATTTGTAGAATGTGACTAGCAAAACTAAAAACAATTATGAAAATGTTTCGAAGTATAAATCATAAACCATTAGGAAGAAGAGGATAATAAACATGGAGAAAAATAGACTGAGTTTTACTGCATTAAGAATTCAAAATTCACCTTTTATCTTCTTGCCATCCAAAGGCCAATCAGGAATATATATAAGCTTCTCCATGATATCAAATGCAATAATAGAGTCAGTACCTGAATTTGCTTATTTGTTCAAAATTTTGTTAGGTGATAGATATTTTCTTGGAGACTGGAATAATCATTTTGGTTAGAAAAGTTGGAATGTATATTTATTTAATGCTGAGTTTTCCAAAGACAGATTTTTAGAACTTGTTCTGTTGCAGATATATATTTTTTATGCTCTATTGACATTCACCATGAACTTTTTTCACTTGTTTATTTATGTCCTAGCTCTGTGTGCAGTAATGCTACCTATGGTCTAGAATTTTTATGGGAAAACCTTTCAAACTTAAGATACCAATCCCTTGCTAGTTCAAGAAAAACAAGTGAATTTGAAAAAAAAAAGTGAAAAATACTTGTTCCCATTATACTTGAATCTTTCTGAATATTCTTTGCAGCTAAAGATAAAGCAAGTAACCTAAATAGTTTTTTTTTTCTCACTGATCATACATTTCAATGTAATTTCACGATTTTAAGTGTCCTATAGTTGTTGAGTATTAGACTCACATACACTGAATTGAAAATGTATTTAATGCAAAAATGGGTAATTATCAACTAGAATCTAGAATTATTCAAATTAAACTGTGGAATTTCCTAAAAACACAAAGTGCATTTATGAAAACTAATACTGTAACTGAGTAAAAAAACAAAAGGGTACTTTGAGTATTTATAAAGAACACAGCTATTTCAAAAATCCCCTCCCCACACATCTAAAATTGAAAATAATTTTAAAAAATTAAAAGTCATTCACTTGTTTCTTTTGATCCAGTTAATATTAAAATCTTCTCTTACCTTGATAACATGGAGCTATTCTTGTACTCAGTGCTGTTCGGAAATCAGAGGGCATTTTATAGCAAACACCCGTGGGAAGCTTATTTTCATTCTTCATGTAAAATATATTTTTCCATCTATGCCCACAAGTCTGAATAAAACATAAAAGTAGACTAAATTATGTGAAAGTCACACCCAGAATATCTGATTTCATGATGTAATCAGTGGACCAATTCCAATAACCTACCACGATGGATCCATTTTCTCCTGGCTGTCTGGAAAGCGTGACCCCCAACCATTGATTGTCTCTTTCTTCCAAACAAGTCTTTCCACAAGGGTCTCCACCAGGGCTACCTACCGCATTTGAAAACAACGTTATCATCAGTGACCTTGAAAACCATGTTATTCTAGGAGAGCAGAGAAAATGAACACATCATGCTTATCCCCAATGTTTTTTCCCTTCAACCACGTGTGAAGTGCCCAAATTTCTGCTTCTGTCATCTTACATTCATTGCACAATGGAGGCGGGGGGAGGAATAACTGTGAGTTACATAACTGTGAGTTACTTGGTACAAATATGTTTTCTTGAAAGGTGATTTTTATTTGTAGAAATGACTGGAAGGGGAGATGACCAGTTTACACCAACATAGGCTGTGCAAAATCAATGGCAATGTACAATGCTTGGTGAAGAATTCCCACCTTTGCTTGGACCATTTATCTAGCATTACTGACAACATTATCAGAGCACTTTGTAAGACATACCTTGAATTGAGGCATTAACAATAAAAGACAGTTCAGAGCACTTTGTAAGACATACCTTGAATTGAGGCATCTACACTAATAAAAGACAGGATGGTCTTCAGCACTGAAGTCAGCTTCTGGAAGCTGGAAGGGGAGGACTGAGCATGTGGAAATGGGCAGTGTATAATGAGCGTGGTAACACGGAATAGCATTGAAAGCAAACTACCCTGTGGTTTATATTAAGTTGATCGTGACTGCTCTCAACAAGGGAAAAAAGACGTTGAAAACCAGATTATCTCAGTAGTAAATAAAAAAAACCTCTGGTAGCACTTTGGCAAATACATGAATATAAAGAAAACTAAACATAAATATGACCCGTGGGCAATACAGGACTCCTAAATTGTACAAAAGAAAGTCACCTACACAGTGATAATGTTTCCCTTTGTTAGAGTGACTTCTTTGCTTTATAGCTAGGATCCTGTATTCAAGTGATTTTAATTAAGTGATTTTAGGGAAGAATAAGATGCAGTACCTTAAGATTCCTTTTGCTGTCTGTATTTTCACCCTCTTCAATTGCCATGTGATAGCCTATTCCACCCAGGCTTCCTTCCAAAGGCAGGTCTATGTATTTGCATTAATGTGATTGGAAGAATGTGGAACTTGGGTTTGTTTACTTCATTTTGAACACTGGTCACTGTGTTCAGACATTTATAGGAACCATTTTCTAAATTAGGCACTATCTCCTCCTATAACCTTAAACCCTAAAGTTTCCTGGGCAAACTCAGAATACCTATATCAATAAGGCTAATATTTTGAAAGGGAAATTATTTGCAGAAGATCTCCTTGGTAGGAGAGATTTTGTTATAAGGAGTATAGGAAGATGATTGTGTATACTCTTGTTTGTTCTTCAAGATGTTGATCAGGAAAAACAGCAAAACCCTTAACACAGCGGAACTGAAGAAAGCTTCCCAGCCCCGGGAAGATTCTGCTTTAGTAGGTTCAGGTGAGGCCCTGACTACCCCAGATGGTTCCCATGATCTGGAAATTGCTATGAAAGAATTAGCAATTCTTATGGATTATGTTGTTCTGGCCAGGTTTCCTGTAGAATAGTGACTGGCAAGTCCCACCTATTGGCAGTGGCTGCTTGGAGCACTACAGTGAAAGGAAGACACCTAAGGATGGGTCTGGAAGAAGAATGCTGGGGTTGATTAGCAAAGTCTATTTGGAATAGAAAGAATCTTGCTGCAGCCCAAACCTTGGCAAAAGAGAATCCCAGTGGAAACGTAAGGTCTCTATGTTAAGACTAATAAAAAGAAAAAGGAAGGGAAGAAGGGAGAGAGAAAGAACTGCATTGTGTGCTTTGGTAGGTAAGGTCTCATACAGAGTTTGATTGTGGCTACATGATGTGAACATAATGGAAGGAAAGTGAAAGAGAATGACATGAAATTTTAATTTTCACTGTGATGCAATTTTCAGTTTGACTTTTCACTAAAATTGCCAGTTTTTTTTTACTAATGTCAAAAATAGATGATAAATGATAGACCCTGTTTAACTGAAGTTGAAGTTCCTATTATTTACAATAGATACTTCAATGAAATATCTTCTAAGAAAATACAGAGTCTTCTAAATTTACAGTCACTAAGGCAACCAAGTAGGAGAAAAACTAAGGACAGGAGAGGAAGGAGGTCACAAGTAATACGTATCTCTATTAAAATGTGGTGTGATATAATGGACACTTTCTTTCATCAAAATTATACTCAAGAAGGAAAGTGAAAGAGAATGACATGAAATTTTAATTTCCACTGTGATGCAATTTTCAGTTTGACTTTTCGCTAAAATTGCCAGTTTATTTAGAAACAAATTTACTGTTCTAGAGATGCACCCCAAAAGTTTTAAAAAAGTAAACATACGATAGTTTAAAACCACACAATGCTATGTAAGTTGCTTGAGAAAAAATGGCCAAAAATTTACTGTTCTAGAGATGCACCCCAAAAGTTTTAAAAATGTAAACTATAGTTTAGAAGCACACAATGCTATGTAAGTTGCTTGAGAAAAATGGCCCAAATGCAGCCCAAACCTTGGCAAAAGAGAATCCCAGTGGAAACGTAAGGTCTCTATGTTAAGACTAATAAAAAGAAAAAGGAAGGGAAGAAGGGAGAGAGAAAGAACTGTATTGTGTGCTTTGGTAGGTAAGGTCTCATACAGAGTTTGATTGTGGCTACATGATGTGAACATAATGGAAGGAAAGTGAAAGATGACATGAAGAAATTTTAATTTTCACTGTGATGCAATTTTCAGTTTGACTTTTCACTAAAATTGCCAGTTTTTTTTTACTAATGTCAAAAATAGATGATAAATGATAGACCCTGTTTAACTGAAGTTGAAGTTCCTATTATTTACAATAGATACTTCAATGAAATATCTTCTAAGAAAATACAGAGTCTTCTAAATTTACAGTCACTAAGGCAACCAAGTAGGAGAAAAACTAAGGACAGGAGAGGAAGGAGGTCACAAGTAATACGTATCTCTATTAAAATGTGGTGTGATATAATGGACACTTTCTTTCATCAAAATTATACTCAATATTTAGAAACAAATTTACTGTTCTAGAGATGCACCCCAAAAGTTTTAAAAATGTAAACTATAGTTTAGAAGCACACAATGCTATGTAAGTTGCTTGAGAAAAAATGGCCAAAAATTTTTTATCTGCAAAAATAGTGAATTGTTATTGTCTGTTTCTTGGCCGAGTCTTTACATTTAAAAATGAAGACTAGAGAAACCCCTGTGTGATGAAACTGGTTTCTGGAGCCATCAATGATTCCACCTTGTATCATCCTCTGTTTTCGTTTTAGCTCTACCAGGATGTCACCACTGCTCAGAATCTCACACTTCAGGCTCACACACATCATAACCAAACTACTCACTTTCCCACTTTTTTGGTGTCACTTTCCTCAAACATCTTTCTCCCCATATCTGAGTACCTCTCAGGTCTCTGGGACTTATACCAACGCACCATGCGCCACTTTTTTGGTGTCACTTTCCTCAAACATCTTTCTCTCCATGTCTGAGTACCTCTCAGGTCTCTGGGCACCATGCCCCCACCCCCCACTTTTCAAGCCTTTGGCCTCAATTACACCAGCTTTCTTGCCTCTGCAGCTTGCAGATGGCAGGTGATAGGACTTTCTCAGCCTCCATAACTGAGGGAGCCGATTGTGAATCTCCTTGTAGATAGATTGAAAGGTAGTTAGATGGGTAAATCTATCTAGCTACCCTGTCGGTTCCGTTTCTCTGGTGAACCCTGACTAAATCAAGTACATTATTCATTCACAACTATTCTATTTCCCAGGCCTAGTAAATAATGACCTACTTCATCTTGACCAGTACTAAGTCTTGTTCATTACTAGCCCACCCCCGGCACAGAGCCTGGAAACGTGTGCTGAAAATGGAAGTGGGTAAATCTATCTAGCTACCCTGTCGGTTCCGTTTCTCTGGTGAACCCTGACTAAATCAAGTACATTATTCATTCACAACTATTCTATTTCCCAGGCCTAGTAAATAATGACCTACTTCATCTTGACCAGTACTAAGTCTTGTTCATTACTAGCCCACCCCCGGCACAGAGTCTGGAAACATGTGCTGAAAATGGAAGTTCAATAAATGAAAAGCAATTCAAAGCTTTGACTGGTTTATTTTGACTGAGTATCTTATCTTCTATTTGTGTTTTGTATCTTAATGTGAAATGTGAGTACAAAAGGATAAATGCCCCGGCAGAAAGGAAATTCACAAACCAACACAGTCATGAAACAATTACCCTTCCACGCCACAACATCAGCCCAGCATCATGTGTCTCACTCGTTCACTTTTGATTTGACATACGAGTAATTTGACTTACGAGCTCTGTCATGGAACGAATTAAACTCGTAAGTTAAGGCCCCACTGTAAATGAAAAGCAATTCAAAGCTTTGACTGGTTTGTTTTGACTGAGTACAGTATTTGTGTTTTGTATCTTAATGTGAAATGTGAGTACAAAAGGATAAATGCCCCGGCAGAAAGGAAATTCACAAACCAACACAGTCCTGAAACAATTACCCTTCCACACAAGAAATAAAAACTAATGCTAATCAGTGAACAAACACACAGACTCACATTTATAGAGGGTTCTCCTTTTCTTCCTAACACACCTCTGCCGGCCACCGTCATACTTTCAGCACCGGTTACAAGACAGGAGCAGTTCAAAGAATACCTGTAAGTCCCCACTACCACTCTAGGTCTTTTCTTAATTTCCAGGGACTTTTGTTTACACTTTTCTTCTTTAATGCCTACAGAATCTTGGCAGAGAAATAAAACCTTCTCATCATCAGCTTACACTCGGGGCCTTCTCCAGAGCTTTTTCTTAACCAGCTTGCTCCTAAGTCCACTCCTTTATCACGTGGTTCTCGGCCTTGACTGGACATTAGGATCACCTGGGGAGAGTTCTGAACAAATCCTGACACCTGGTTCCTTCTCCCAGAGGCTCCGATGTGACTTGTCTGGGTTGAGACCCAGACGCCAGAATTATCTGAAAAGCTCCCTGGGCACTTGTAGTGTGCATGTGGGCTTGTGAGCAACTGCTCTGCAATGTAAACGCTGTGCCTTGCCTGCATTATGTCATATCTGAAAAGAAACAACTTCCTTTTAAAAAATAATACTAGAGGATGGGGGCGGGCTATACGAAGTCAATGGGGGGGAAAAGGAGACATGCAATACTTTCAACAACAAATATCTTTATAATAATATCTTTTGTCCTCCTTGGTTTTAGCTAGATATTGAATAGGATATCAAATGTTAAGTAAATTTTTGTGTGTGTGGAAATTCAGTATTTCTAATGTGGCCAGAAATGATGATGAATAAAACTGGCATGGGAAAGCTAATGTCAGGAAACTGAACATCATAAACAAACCCAGATGATCTTTATTTTTGACTCAAATGTCAGGCTGAAATTATTTATAATCTGGTTTTCAACTCAGCTCATTTATTACTAATGTAAACTCAGCCAATTAAATCAGCTTCATAATTAAAAAAGTACTTTACATGGTTTAACATAAAAGAGGTCAGCAGAAATTAACATTTGATAATTTTCCATGCTTTTATACAACTAGAATGACTAATTCTTAGCACAGTTGAATGCATTTTCCCAATAGACATTAAAAATACAAAGCTATATAAAGACCATACCCCTTATTCTAAAAACTGAAACCCATTTTTCTCTTTTTTATTTTTCATTTGGGAAAGGAAATATACAGATGTATGCTTACTACTTCATTTTTTTTTAAATTTCCATCGTCTGATTTTTGTATCAGTATACATACATGTATATAAATATGAATAACAGTAACTTCGATAGATGAATATAAAGGATGTTAGTACAAAGCCAATTAAGTACACCTTTTTACCGCCCCCTTTTGTTGGTGTTAATTACTGTCATTGTTGCAAGTCCCCAAATATGAAAGAGACTATGGAAGGGTAGATATTCAATCTTGAATGTCTCCTCCATGAAGGCAGGTACTGTATTTTGTTGACCGTGGCACTCCCACAGCCCAGAACAGGGCCTTCCCTGCAGAAGGCCGGAATGAAATGCATATTTGCTGAGGGAGGGAATTCTGAAATACATTATACCACCGCAAATCCTTTACTCGATTTACTAATCCTTCACTGCAGCGATTTCCAACCTTTTTCATCTCCTGGCACACATAAACTAATTACTAATATTCTGCAGCACACCACAAAATATATAATTTTTCCTGATCTGATAAAAAATAGAATAGGTATAATTTTGATTCATTCACACCTCTTGTGGCACACCGGTTGAAAATTGCTGCTTTACTGCAATAATTTTACTAAACTCTCGGGGATCTAAGCTTTGGGGAGATCTTCCTTCACTACTATTCTTCCTTACTTCTCTTCTAAAATATTGCCTTGAGTTTTAAGATGGTAACAGATGTTCTGAAGGGAAACCGTGTTTGGAGGTTTGAAGATCTTTACAAAGTGGGGTATGTGAGCAGGACTATTTAAAACGGAGTCAGCTGGGCCCACAGGAGGTGCCTGTCTCACAGCTGTGCACAAGGATTATGGGGAGTAAGTGAGATATGTGTGAAGCGCTTGGGCCAGAGTTTAGCGGAGAAAACAAACAAATAAATCCTGACACCTGGTTCCTTCTCCCAGAGGCTCCGATGTGACTTGTCTGGGTTGAGACCCAGACGCCAGAATTATCTGAAAAGCTCCCTGGGCACTTGTAGTGTGCATGTGGGCTTGTGAGCAACTGCTCTGCAATGTAAACGCTGTGCCTTGCCTGCATTATGTCATATCTGAAAAGAAACAACTTCCTTTTAAAAAATAATACTAGAGGATGGGGGCGGGCTATACGAAGTCAATGGGGGGGAAAAGGAGACATGCAATACTTTCAACAACAAATATCTTTATAATAATATCTTTTGTCCTCCTTGGTTTTAGCTAGATATTGAATAGGATATCAAATGTTAAGTAAATTTTTGTGTGTGTGGAAATTCAGTATTTCTAATGTGGCCAGAAATGATGATGAATAAAACTGGCATGGGAAAGCTAATGTCAGGAAACTGAACATCATAAACAAACCCAGATGATCTTTATTTTTGACTCAAATGTCAGGCTGAAATTATTTATAATCTGGTTTTCAACTCAGCTCATTTATTACTAATGTAAACTCAGTCAATTAAATCAGCTTCATAATTAAAAAAGTACTTTACATGGTTTAACATAAAAGAGGTCAGCAGAAATTAACATTTGATAATTTTCCATGCTTTTATACAACTAGAATGACTAATTCTTAGCACAGTTGAATGCATTTTCCCAATAGACATTAAAAATACAAAGCTATATAAAAACCATACCCCTTATTCTAAAAACTGAAACCCATTTTTCTCTTTTTTATTTTTCATTTGGGAAAGGAAATATACAGATGTATGCTTACTACTTCATTTTTTTTTAAATTTCCATCGTCTGATTTTTGTATCAGTATACATACATGTATATAAATATGAATAACAGTAACTTCGATAGATGAATATAAAGGATGTTAGTACAAAGCCAATTAAGTACACCTTTTTACCACCCCCTTTTGTTGGTGTTAATTACTGTCATTGTTGCAAGTCCCCAAATATGAAAGAGACTATGGAAGGGTAGATATTCAATCTTGAATGTCTCCTCCATGAAGGCAGGTACTGTATTTTGTTGACCGTGGCACTCCCACAGCCCAGAACAGGGCCTTCCCTGCAGAAGGCCGGAATGAAATGCATATTTGCTGAGGGAGGGAATTCTGAAATACATTATACCACCGCAAATCCTTTACTCGATTTACTAATCCTTCACTGCAGCGATTTCCAACCTTTTTCATCTCCTGGCACACATAAACTAATTACTAATATTCTGCAGCACACCACAAAATATATAATTTTTCCTGATCTGATAAAAAATAGAATAGGTATAATTTTGATTCATTCACACCTCTTGTGGCACACCGGTTGAAAATTGCTGCTTTACTGCAATAATTTTACTAAACTCTCGGGGATCTAAGCTTTGGGGAGATCTTCCTTCATTACTATTCTTCCTTACTTCTCTTCTAAAATATTGCCTTGAGTTTTAAGATGGTAACAGATGTTCTGAAGGGAAACCGTGTTTGGAGGTTTGAAGATCTTTACAAAGTGGGGTATGTGAGCAGGACTATTTAAAACGGAGTCAGCTGGGCCCACAGGAGGTACCTGTTTCACAGCTTTGCACAAGGATTATGGGGAGTAAGTGAGATATGTGTGAAGCGCTTGGGCCAGAGTTTAGCGGAGAAAACAAACAAATGTTAGCTGATGTTAACATTGTTGTTATTTTAAAGATTAATCTAAACATGTGATTAAGCTGTACATATGTCATGGAATATATCCTCCATAAAATATTTGTGGCACATTGTTGTTGTCACTTAATCCTTATCATACACATTAGCTCATTCAATTCTCACAGTAGCAGCAGAAGACTAGTTTATCAATCCCATTTTACAGATGAGAAAATTGAGTCTTATAGAAAAAAATAACTTCCCCCACCCCATGGGGCTGGTAAATGGAAATTATTAGAGTAAAAAACTTGTCAGAAATAGAAGGCCTGTTACTTCCCACTACCCTATAGCATATAAAATAGAAGTCTACTTTCAGATGTATGAATTAACTGAAGTCATGTCACTAAGTTTTTTTCATCAGAAAATGTATAAAATATCACAAATCTGACCCCAGACTGTAGTCAACTCTATAGTGTTCACGAAAAAATGTCATTTACTTGGTCTCTATCTTATCCTGTGATTTTCCTCCATTTAGATCAGTTCTCAGTGTCTTGGCATTTCCATCAAGGAAAGACCAAAAGGAAAAAACAGACTCACAGTTCTTCTTTCCATCACTTGCTGGCAGCTTGAGTGAAACGCTCTGTGGGTAGGGGTGCCTGGGACTTTGGGTTCTAATGACATGTTTGCTTTATCTGCCTGTGTACAGTGCTGTGACTTCCCCATCACTTCAGACATTTGATTGGGGCACTCCGTCTGGCATTCTAGCTCCGAATAGAAGTGTGAGTGTGTGAGTGTGTGTGTGTATATCTGATCTTTCAAAACATGTGATATAATTTCAAGTTTCAGAAAAGTAGTGTACTTCCACCACAGTGCTGTGACTTCCCCATCACTTCAGACATTTGATCGGGGCACTCCGTCTGGCTTTCTAGCTCCGAAGATATATATATGCGTGTGTGTGTGTGTGTGTGTATGTATATATATATCTGATCTTTCAAAACATGTAATGTAATTTCAAGTTTCAGAAAAATAGTGAAAGTCCTTACTTCCACCAATTACTTTTTTTTAATGTTGAAGTTTTATTCCATTTAAGTCGTCTTATATGTTTCAAACTGTTCCACTCTTTTTCTTAATCCTGAAAAATGAATGACTCTTGTTCTATGTTACATAAAGAGTCATTCATTCAAGATATCTTTATTTGTAGAAGCAATAATTACTGAGTGAAAATAATTATACAATTAATTCCTCTACCTAAATTAAAAATATTTGAAAAACATGTATGATTCAAGGCAAACAAATCAATTCAAATGTGACAAGATTCTAAGGCCTACCATTGCAGGGTTATGAAGATTACAGAACATTTATGGCTGTGCATGCAAGACTGCCTGGCAGCTAGTACGTGTTCATTAAATGGTAAATGCTTCTGCTCCCCAGCATCCCCACATTATGTTGCTTTGGACTACACCAGCAGAGGGAGCTCACAGTGCTGAGAGATTGGACCAGCAGTCAGCTCTTTAAGCCCAGTGGCCCCTTCTTATAGTTTTTCTTATCAAACCCTAACTATTAAATCCATTATAATACGTTTATCATATTAAACTATTTACTTTCCCCATGCATCTAATAAAACATGATGATGTTTCTAAGAGATAACAGTAATGTGTATGAATTCAATAGTAGTAACAAGTAGTAATGTAAAATGCCTTTGTGTTAGAGGTGAAATGGGACATGAGAGCACTAAACTTCCAAACCATAGCCTCCAGCTTGTGTAGTGGGAAACAAGAGTCAAACTATCAAAATAAACATCAACATTAGACACCGTTCTCAAAGTATTTTCCCCTTGGAAAAACAGGTATTGAAATCTCAGCTTCTCAGATTTCCTATCAAAATCTGATAATAACTAATAATCGTTCGAAACTTACGTGAGAAACAGCTTATATAATCACAGGCCTGAAAACGCCAGTATTTCAGTCCCCTTTTTCATTTCATTTCATATACATTTTTTTAACTTTCGAATTTTATTTATTTTACTTTATTGTATCCAGAAAGAGAGTTGAACACTGAGGTAAACATTGGCAGAGGGTAGTGCCAAGTTTATAAATCGGGGTTGATCCTGAGCTACCATGAGGCCCCAGAACTCTAGAAAACCTGGTCACTTGTGAGCTTGATTCTAGGTTTAGTGTCTCTTCCAGGGATCTTAAGCCCAAACTCTTTCAAATTCCTGCAGAAAACCTACACAAACCTTTTTTACTAACTACACCAGAAAAATATACTGCAACTTATCATAATTGAACATGAGTGAACATAATTTAAAGAGGGGCCATTGTCTTATAATAATTGCTAATATTTATGACATGCTTCCTATGTATATATTAATTCATTTAGTTTTCATTCCATCCCTATGAGGAGATATTATTGTCATTATCCAAATTTTACAGGTAGAGAAGCTGAAACAAAGAGAGATTAAGCATCTTGCCCCAAATCACAACCCTAATTAGTGGAGGAAAAAAGGATTCAAGCCCACATTGTTAATTAGCATCTATACTACCTTACAATGATCTGCTATTAATACTTTTCCCTGTTAATGTAGGAAAAGAACCCAAATATTAACATTATTAATAATTCTATACTCATTTTATTTTTATAATAAACCTACTAAGCTGGTAACATTAATTTCCAACATTAGAACATTCTCTACTTCCATGGTTTCCAGTTAATCTCTTTGTCTTCAGGATTCGCTTGAAAAACTATCACTAATATATGAATTCCATTTTGAGTGTCTTTGAAATAAGAAAACACAAAAATGTTAACAGAAACAAACTCTGGGGAAATCTGCTCTGGCTTCATGCTAGGTGGGCCATATTGAAGTTCTGTGCCTGGTTTGGGAATTCACAGGGCAGAACAGAGGATGTCAGGAAGACAGCAAGGCTTAAAAATATGTGAGAGAAGTAACAATCAGTCAGGGAGTGTTTGGCATTATCCTGAACCAATGGAGGATTGGACTGAGATGAGAAGATGCAGACAGTAGCAGACGTGTCTCTATAAAAAGCTTAAACTTTAAGGATGGGATAATATGTTGCAGAGATAATGACTGTGAAAAAAACCTACCAAATACTAGAAAACATTCACCAGAACACAAAGAATGGTATCAGGGTGAGGTAGACCTAGAAAAATGTCTCAACAGAGGGTGTGCCTGGAAAGAGTCTTCTATGTAGGGTGTCTAATCCACACAAAGAATGGTATCAGGGTGAGGTAGACCTAGAAAGATTTCTCAACAGAGGGTGTGCCTTCTATGTAGGGTGTCTAATCTACTTCACACATTATTTCCCATCAAAGAGAGCTGGCAACTAAGTCTACATGGTTACTCTTCTCATTGTGCATTACAGAATTTCACATAAATATTTCTTATCTTTAGAAAAAAGATTTTTTGAGGTAAACTGAGAGCATCAGCACAAACACACTGCATCATTGAGCCCAGTCCTGTCACTTGTAAGACCACTTCCCTGTTTCAATTTGATGCTTCAGCTACTTTTAAAATAAAATAAAAATCCCTGTTTTTAAAGATGGTCAGTTCCAAGCTCCCTATCTCTGGAGTGAGTTTTTTTTTTTTTTTTATTAAATCTTTATTGTTCAGGTTACATTTGTTCCTCTTTTTTCCCCCCCATAACTCCCCTCCTCCCA